AGTAAAGACACTACTACCTTAACTTTATTCATAACCTACATGAATAAAGACATTCACATACGTAAATGCATCATACTTAAAATGTCTAAGGTAAACAATTCTAGTGAAGAGGTTTGTTTGAATGGTTCATTTAAATAAATAATAATGATAAAAAATGTTTACAGAATTGAGTCCCTGTACTATTTCCAAGTTATGTGAATTTGTGTTTTTGGTTTAAGATGGAATGAATGAATATTTTCCAAATGCATGTTATCTATCTTAACGTGAACAATTCATCCGTGCATATGTCCCCCCCCTCATAATTCCTAATCAAAATGTCATAACTCAATGTTCTCTCCAATCATTTCGTTTGCATACTTTCTAACAACTAAGCTTGCATTCAGATCTGCCTCAATTCTATAAACAACAGATGGAACCAAGTCCCTGGCCTACATTTTTTCACTCGTATCATTTATTTAATTGAATAGTTATATTTTATTCATAACATTATATTGGATCTTTAATGTGCTTGGCTGCTTTTTGTTTGTAGCTTGTAATGTAGCAAATGACTTGTTCAAAATAGTAGGCGAACTGTAGTTTAACTAATGATTAGCTTGTAGCTTGGCAATCTACACTTTTAAAAGTAGTATAGCAAATTGCATTAAAGTATGCCAAATAAACCGACCTGTTGCACAAATTGCTGTGCAAACTGTGTTCTGTGCTGATTTTAGTTGATTTGAGCTGATTTCCAACATGGAATAAAACAATGTAATTATGACTTTTCATCTCACAATTCCGAGTTAACATCTCACAACTCTGACTTTTAATAAACTCAGAACTGTAAGATGTAAACTCGCAGTTGTGAGAAGAACAGTCTTGATTGCATGTTTGTAACCTGCAATTGCGAGATATTAAAATATAAAAAAGTCAGAATTGTGAGTAAAAAAGATGCCACAGAATAAAAAAAGGTATGTGTGACTTTTTATCTCACAATTCTGACTTTTTTCTTGCTATTCTGAGTTTGTCTCAGAATTCTTGACTTTTCTCTGAATTGAGAGTTTCTGAGTTTATTTATCAGATATAAACTTATAGAAAAGGCCAGAACTGTGAAATCTAAACTCAATGACCTTTTATATATATTTTTTTATTCCCAGGCAGAAACAAACTTTCATATAAAAAAACCTAGACAGCGCATGCAAATAAACTGTGTATCAGCAAGTGCAATTCATTTTCCCACACGCTGTCTTTTTAGTGTCTATCTTTCTGTTTATGACATCAAACATGTCTAATGTCTCACACACA